CCCCTCCCCCCAAAAAAGAGGAAAAAAAGGAGAAAAGCCACATAATATTATAATCACGGACTTTTTTAGGGCGCCGGTCTACACACGCAAGAGTGGAAACTTGCTTCTGTGTTGTTGCCCCCCACTCCACCCAACCCACCTTAAAAAAATAATAGTTTGGTAATTGCTAGTAATTGGTCGCTTTTAAGGACAAGACAAGAGAACTAACCCAGATTTCGGGGGTTTCCAGAAATCTTGACCCACACCAAAAATGGGAATTGTGAGGCAGCGTGGTGGTACCAGGCTCTCATCAATTTTTGGGCATGTAGAGTTATTGGTATCATCTTAATGCTTGTTCTGTTGTCTTTATTTGGACGAAAAAAATATCCATTTATCTTGAATACATATCGAGATATTTGCGAATGAAGGAGGTGGGGGTCACCTGTTTTCAGAGGTAAAATTAGTGAGAAAATGGCTGCCAAAGATTAGTTATTTCCTTAGCTTTAGAGTCCGTGGTAATAGAAAATTTACATTTTTTTTATGCCTTTAATCAACGTTTTTCAGAAAAATCCATAAAGAAATGAGTTCGTTAATGGGCATGAAAGGTGTTGAGCCAAAAAAATAAAAATTTGATGAAAATTCACAAACCTGTGTAAAAATGCAAGTTTCTTCACTGTGATTATTTTGACGAGAGCATGATTCCACCTCGCTGCCTCACAATTGCCCTACCTATAGGAGAAGTTTAGTCTCATTGGTTTTTATTTTTGTTAGGTTACTAGTATAGAGAAAACTCCCCTTGTCTTTTAAAGAAGGTCGGCTCTATTTCTTCGAACGCTCGGGAAAATAAACTTGAAGGTGGAGGTATTTTTTTATTATTATTTGTTTTGCTTTAGGGGTGACTAAATGCAAAATAGGTTACTGCCAAAGTCGAGCAGTCTTGTCTTCTCACAGTACCCTTTAAAGGCATCAAATGAAGTATATAGTCCGGGAACTGAACAAGGGTCCAAAAACGCAACCTTCAATTTTCTCAAAACAGCATTTTTCGGGATAGCCCCCTTGTACTTAAAAACGATTAATTCTCTTTAATTGAATGGCCTGGTTTATGTTCATTTATATTGTAAATTCATTTATTCATGTTTTGTGTGCGTGTGTAAAACCTGGGGTATTCATTGATTTGCTGTTCACCTGTTTCAGATGGAATGTTTTTCATGCTCTGTCCTAAAAAAAAATCCTTTTCAAAATTTAAACAAGCCACAGATAAAGCAGAAGCAACAACAAACAAAAAATAAAAAAGAAGAAAAAGACCCCCCCAAAAACAAAAAAACAACAACCCGACAACAACAAACAAATCAACAAAAGCCGCATTTAACAGCAAAGAAAGAATTAATTAATTAAGGCCTTCTTAGTTTCAAAACAATAGAGAAACTTAGATTCATGATTAATTAGATATATGTAGTCTAATCTATTTTTAATCGAGGTTACTATCAATGATATTTGAAACCGATTTTGTTTTTCTAAGAAGTTTGCGCGACTTCCTCCGTGTAGATCGTCGGCCTTTTAGGTTGTCAGGTTATTGAACGCTTACAAGAATTGCCACTGCTAACTTATTTACGCTTTGATAACTTTGAAAAATCCACGATGCATTGTCTTGATTGTGCACAGACTACTTACGTTTCTGGTGCGAGTTTAGTAAGCTTTAGGTCCAGAAAAAACACAGTATTTAACGATTTCTGTCGGACATTCAAAATGTATGCACTGAGGAATCGCCTCGCCTTCTTCTCGACGGACGCTTGTTTCATAGTTTCTTTCGTGTCACCTCACGGCGTGACCTATGACACAGGAAATGTACCTGTTGTCAACAACAACTGCAACCGTGTCCACTGGCCCATTGAAGCCTCGTTCTCATTCAAATACCTGGCGGGAAGCAAAGGTGTGTGTAGGATTCCCTTTTCTGGAAGTCCCCGTCGGTGAGTCTCGGGGCTACCTCAGGTTATTGTACACCCTATTTTTGTATAAAAATTGCTTTGTCGGGATATGAATAATATTTTTTCTTTATTTCCAAAGTAGTTTGTCTTTTGTTTTCAATTTAAATCAAATAAGCTAAAACCTGTAGGCCCACTGTTCTCCGCAAGGTTTCGGGAAGTTTAGCAGTGATCTAAAAATAGTATATTACTACCACGCAGTCGCAAACGAGGCTGCACCAACACTTTCGTTCACCGTCCAAAACAGTGGAGCTTCCCCGACCGGAAGCGGCACTTCTATCGAGAAAAATCAATAATTTTGACCAGAGAGATCGAAAGGGGGGACCCCAACATATTTCATTGATCCCCCCTTTGGCTCTCACGTTTGACAAAGGGTTTGTTTCGCTTGGTCTCTTCGTAGCGGCCGAAGACAAAGAGATGGTGCGTTGGCCTTGAAGAGTTCAAGATGGCTTCCTCGTCTGGAATCGAGGCATCTGTAGAACAGACTGCGTCTGCAGGGGCAGCTGAGCCATGCAGCACCCTCGAAGCTTCAGCCGATCTGGAAGATAGTACTGGTAGTTTTGATGTGGATGCAGAAAATGCTCCTATGCAATCATCCTCGAAAGGAGCTTCTTACGAAGAAACCTTTCAAGGCCCCCACAAGTGGAGACAACATCTTAGACATGTTCCGAGTACCAAGCGAAAGAAAAATCCGCAAGAATCCGATAACCAAGTAAATTTCGGCTCTGAATCAGAACAAGACGACAGTTTCATGTAAGTCCAAATGCCAAATCTATTCGTCTAGAGATCTAGATGTAGGCTAGAATCATGTAGATTCTAGATCAAGAATCTAGTCTTGTGTGCTAACCAGAGAGTAGATCATAACAACAACAACAATTGCAAGGTTATTCCCCCCTTGTGTTGTGACTTGTGATTTCAGTTAGACTCTCTAGAAAGTCTACTGTGTGTTTAGAGTTCAAGTCTCTAGACTCTGGCCCTACATTACATACATGTGACATGACTATATACATATCTAGAATCTAGATTAGTTAGAAGGCTGTATCAGTATCGAAGTGATTATTCGGACTCGAGTCCAAATAGGAAAAAATGTTATTCGGACTCTGATTCTTGTCCAGCATGACATCACTTCCAAATTCCTGTGACTCGTGACTCCGGCTTCCTGTCCTGCCTCACTCGTGACTCGCCTCAGGCTGGGTAGAGACCGGGATCACTTCGGGCAAAAAGGCGTTTTGTGCAGGAGCCGAGTTTTAATCTTACGATGAATTTGAGGCCAGCCTGAAAAGTATAGCGCTTCTAATAAATGTTTATTTGTCAAGAGGTCATCAGACGCAATTAAAGATGGCTTGTTAGCGTGTGTCGGGGTCGGATGGGCGGCCTGCACACGTGTGCGTGTCGGGGAGGGGGGTGGGGGGGGGGGGGGCCCTATCGGTCCCAGGGTTGAACGTCGCATACGCGTCAGTCTCCCCCCCCCCCCCCCCCCCCCGGAAACTGATCATTATTACAATACATGTAATAAGCTAGTCTTGACGTAGATCTACATAATGAATTGTGCGCTGGTCTATGGAATCAAAAGTTGCCGCATGCTCAGCTCTACACAGCAACACAACTTTTTCTGGATAAACAGCTCATAATAATATGCAGGTGCCAGGTGGTCTGCTAATCTTCAATTTCACCTTTTTCTACAACAAAGAAAGTGGGAGACATGGGGGGTGGGGGGGCGTATCAATGAGGCGGCGGGCATCGGATCGGCAGAAAAGGTGTGTGTGTGTGGGGGGGGGGGGGGGGACTAGAAAATGGCGGAAAATTGGAAGCACTGAACGTTAGAACTATAGAACGAAGACCCTTCCTTTTTTCCGGACCCGAGTCCGAATAACGACGGCCTATCATTATACAATAACTTTTGTCTGAATATCAGCGATTTTGTAGTTTCGTTCGTTTAAGTCCAAGGCTGAACGCCAGAGACCCTGAATTGCCAGGTAATCGTTGAGGAGAAAATCAAAATTTAAGCAAAGATTTCGAATGGCCCTTTTTCGGCAGTTCCCACCCCCAATTATTATTCACGGGTTTGGGCCCCAAGCCCAAGAGTCAAGATCGAGTAGGGGGGTTTCAGGGTTGCCTGAATTTTTACCATAATTTGATGTTTTGCAGAGCTAGAGATATATAATATTAGATCTTGATTAGATCTAGGTTGCCTGTTCTTTGTGTTTCGTATTGGGAGTGTATACAGACCCGGTAACCGGGAATAAAGTCACAAAGTATACAGACCCGGTAGGGGAACTCTTTTGTGATTTCGGAAAGTTTCAGCGCCCTCTTGGCTCAGGGTAGACCTAGGTTCTTCTGGTAGATCTTTGGCCTAGGCTAGGTCTAGATCTAGATCTAGACAGACAGACATAAATCCTTGGTCTAGTTTCGAGGCTAGCCTAGATCTAGATCTAGATCTAAATGAAGATTGCGGATGTCTTTTGGAGTTGGAGGAATTACAATTTGAAGAAAAGAACAATGTCATAATTTCTCTCGAGCAGTCATCCTCTCTATTTCTCTCTCGCTCTGTTGCTCGCATTCTCTTTTTCTTTGTTTGTCTCTGTCTTTCTTTCTCCCCACCTATTTCCCACTAGACGTCTATATATCTCTCTCGTTCCCTCCTGCCAACTGGGGCATGTTATACATTTTGCTAGCACTCCCCCCTGCTCTCTCTCTCTCTCTCTCTCTCTCTCTCTCTCTCTCTCTCTCTCTCTCTCTATCTCTATCTCTCTCTCTCTCTCACACACACACACACACACACACACACACACACACACACACACACACACTACCGGGTCTGGGCGCTGAAACTTTCCGAAATCACAATACTTCGTGACTTTGTTCCCGGTTACCAGGTCTGTATACACTTCGTTTCGTATTTGGTCATCAAGACTTCCAGTTCTTCTCTGGATGTAAATAAATGGGTGGTGGACTTCAACGAATGGAACTACAAGATCACCTGAATATCTTTAAAATAATTCTTTCAGGGCGTAGATCTAGAATTTTTAAGAAATTGCGCCTTACTCTAGGTTCTGAAATAGGCCAATGTTCAATAAATTTGCGTCTCTCATTTCCTTCTGTGGTTACTTTACTGTAAAGAAGTATCTAGATGTTCTCATGCTTGCGTCGATTCATCTATGATTTGCATTCTTTTTAGCCAGACTCTACTAACTCTCACTATAAGACATTATAAGAAAGATCTAGATCTAGGTTTTAATTGTTTGGTATTCTCAATGTTTTCAACATTTTTAAAATAATGGGATACAAGCAATAAGGGTCCCCTAACCCTATTTCCTAGACAATGGTTCCTAGCTACCTAAACCGTCCAAATCCAGAAAAGTATCGTGTAAAATGTTCCAAACTGGATGATTTCCTTCTTGACGTCACACATCTTAACGTGCTAAAAAAAGGCCACTTTATTTTAATTGCAGTCCACATCATCACTGACATGATCAGTGTACTGTTTGCCTCTATAGTCTATGTAAAATCACACTCACCAGTTATAAGATTATATAGGCTTAGTGATTTATATATAAGGATAGTGATGTACGTCAGTTTAACAAACTTCAGGTTGCCCATTGTCTCTGAAGTTAATCCACAAATAGGACTTGACTCTGACAGCAAGAATTGTGTTTCATGTTGTCATCGGCGTTAGGCTACTTTATTTTTCTCACTTCTCTAACTCTTTCGTTTACTTTATACTTTATATTTCTTGTGTGTGACAGTACGGTAGACAATGTCGAAGTGAAAGCACAATTCTTATAAGCCTACAGCTGAAGTTGCAGACTTTTATATCAAGAACATGAGAAATTTTTTTCCAAAAAGTGGAATTAACTGCAAGTGCATGCATGGCATTTCCAGCTCAATGCTATTGACAATCTTTAAATTATTTGAGCAACCTTCTTTAAACTGAAAACCAGGAATAGAAACCCGAGAAAATCTGGTGATCCTGCTGTCTAATTTGGTTCAAGTGGAATCAACTGTAGGTTTAAAGATTTTTGGACCATTTTTAGACAAGTGTCCCTCTTTCCAGTCACTTAAAAAAAATGGAAATGGGATGTCAGAACTATTTAACATACAGTCACAGAGGTATACAGAACAGCACTGCCATTATAAGCTGACAAAACACCTTTTTTTTTCATTTTGGCGCCAACAATTTTTATTTTGCTAAATTGAAAGCCGGATCAGTTACCCTTATTGTTAGAAAAAATTAAACTGAAACCATGACTAGTTTTTTTAATAAATTATAATTCAAATAGCAGAACCACTCTGTTTCAATAATGCTGACAGAAAATCTCATTTTCTCAAAACTGCTGTAAATAAAAATAGACGTTTTATTACCTAACGGCAGAGCACTGGTGTCCACTTACAACAACCCACAGGAGCAGCGACCTCTGCCTAATGGCAACCTTAGCTAATGTAGGGGAATTTCTCTCTCTCTTTCTCTTTCTCTTTCTCTTTCTCTTTCTCTCTTTCTCTCTCTCTCTCTCTCTCTCTCTCTCTCTCTCTCTCTCTCTCTCTCTCTCCTCCCTCCCTCCCTCCCTCTCAATAACCCTTTTTAACAAGCAGCCTTTTCCTCTAACAGTCGAAACAGCAAATATCGTTGCTGTAAATTGTCTGACGAATTTTTGTTTTGTTTTTTTTGAAGATTCAAAACCTGAACTCAGACCTATAATTTCAGTATCATGTGTGCATCCTTCCTTTCTCCTCAAAACAACCGCTCAGGCCAAAAATGTACTTCACTGAGTACAAGATCTTGGTTCACACCCTCTTGACTCTCTTGCCAAGAGCCATCTTCCCTCAAGAGTTTGAGGGGGAAAATCTCAGCTGCTATGCACATAACATTATTGTTGATGTTCAATGTTTGAACGAACACTACATTGCCATGTTTTCACTTTATGACATAATAATATCACCACATCAATTTGGCCTCGTGTGCGTAGTGTATGTATATTGGGGGAGGGGGGGGTGTCGTATTTTGTTATTGTCTTTCGAGTTTATAGATCTTGTTGCATAGTTGTCAATGAACTTGTTTGTCGACATTTTCGAAAAATGTCTCTTTGCTATAACCAACTGCTATGTTGCTGTCAAATGACACTGAGTCCTTTTTTTTTCTTTAGAAGTTTTCTTTAGAGAATTTGATGTGTCACTAAGAGTTTATTTTTGTGAACTTTACAGGCTCTTAATATAAAAATATGAAACAATAACAATGACTTAAAAACATATATTGTGCAGGCTTTTGCTTTTACACTCAAACACATTGTTAGATTAGGTAAACTGTCACCCTGATATTTTGTTTCCCTTTGCTGTGTGTGGGACTTATGATGAGTGTAATCAGTAGCAAGTTTTAAATTTCTAAATTGAGCTGTCAACATGATGCAATAGGTTTTACCAGTGTTCAGATTTTTGGCAAGATTTATTTTCTTTTATATAAATCCAGATATTAGTGGGGCGGTTTAGCCCAAAAATTTTAAAGGATTGTGCATTTTGTGATACAATCACCAAATTTGGCACAGATGTACATTAATATATTGCAAACATTTTTAGATATTGGGCCACTCGGATTTCTCTCTTTATGGCCGCCATATTGGATTTCAAAATGCGAGTATCTCTGGGTCAAATGCAGCTATTGACTTCATTTTGGTGTCTAAATGTATGTTTTGGGGGGCAAGGAATCCTATGGTACCAATTTCACAATCCAATGCACAATCTAATGCACAATTTTAATGCACAAATCTAAATCAAAGACACAAATCGTAAAATTCTAATGCACAAATCTATTGCAATGCACAATTCAATGCACAATCCAATGACACCAATTTCAACTTAGTTATTTTCCACACTCTGTTTTATAAAATGATCTAGGAAAATAGTTTCGAGATGTATAATAATGTTTTCGAGTCGGAAGTTAGTATTTAATCATACTACAGGTTATTGTCACTTCATAGTATATTGTTGTTAATATCCAGACTTTTCCTTTTCACAGGGACACGACAAATGATGAAGATACAAACTTAAGTCTGGATTCTTCTTCCCTTGACTTGAAAGAAGCTAATTCAGGCGATAACGACGAAACTTCTGGAAACGTCCCACCTTGGAAAAAAGAATTTCTTGAGAGGTCGAAGTACAGAAAGGTAAAACTAAGAATGAGGACAACATTTTTGGGGAAGTGAATATATAATATGTATCATGCATTTGTTTTTGTTCTTAGCCAGCAGTATGGAATTTTTACTGTTGCAAAATACTAGGAGTTAATTATTTTTTTGAATTGTTTATTTTTTAATTATTATTTATTTATTTATTTAAATTTTTTTTTTTGGGGGGGGGGGGGGGGGGAGATGGTGTTATAGATAAGAATAAAAAAAAATAAATTGATATGAACACATTTTTAACAGGAATTATAAATTATTTGTTAGGGTTAGGAATTTCCTCTCACATAGAAAGCAGATTTCCTATCGTGGCATGATCATTATTACCGCTACAATCCCCAATTTTTTAAATGAGTGGGTTTTTTTATATTGAGGAATCTGCTCTTCTGGATGTTTCTAGAAGTTTCAATAGTTTTAATCATTTCTGATTTTGCTTCTCATATATAATTGTTTTTTATATGCTTTGGACAAAATGTCAATGTGTCTTTTTTTACATGCAAGTCAGTCGCTTCCATATCTTACTATTATGAGAGACTGCTGTATATTTGATTAGTGTCAACGTGCACTTTGCCTGTATTGTGATTTTTATTAGATGAATTTCAATTTTGATTTATGTTTTTCATTTGATTCACAAAGTGTAATTCATCTTCGACTGCACCCAACTAGTTTTGTTCTTCTATCAATATGCCCATGGTCTGTATGGTCTGACATCTGAATGAAAAGTAGTTCATTTTTCTGTGTTTCTGTTGTTACAGATGTACAAGCAGACGACTGCCACTGGCGGACAGGCTTCACAGGTGATTATTTTGTTCTTACTAAAAATTTGTCTAAGGTAGTGAGATGCATTTGTACAGTAAGGGTCATACTTTACCTGCAGTGCGTCACCCATGCGGGAATAATAGGTGGAGAAACAGGCTATCCTTTGCTTGAAAATACTTTTTTTCTTTTTTGCAAATGGTGCGCAATACTTGTTGTGAAGACTGGTGACCAGGTCTCTGATAATTGATGTGACATATTTCTAACAAGTCGAAAGTCAAGGTACTTTTCTTTAGTTGAAACTTTTTTGACAAGTTGGTGAATGGGAAGTGAGTGGCTGGTTTATAGCTTCCTTGTAGTTACTGCATTATTAAAGACATTTTGCATCTCTTTGAGCATTTTCGTCTCTTAGTTTACGTCGGTCTCTTAATACATATACATATTATTGTTCTGATTGCCTGTTTTAGATTCCTGTGACTGTCAGGCGGCGTGGGAGCTTACATGGACACTCGGAGTCAGCCTTCACTCGGCAAGTTGTCTACTCTGGTCTGACTCCAAGTGCTTCCCGGAAGAAGCTCTCACCATCTAACTCTGTAAGTACGAGAAATGACTGTGAGGTGCAGCAGTAGTTTGGGTCCTGTCTAAAATGCTCCGTATTTATTGACAGCCTTTTTAATTCTTTTGGGTAGCTTGTCTGGGTTGTTTGTTTTTTTGGGGAGTTTTTTTTGTGTGGTTTAATTATGAATGTAGCTTTTGTGAAGTCTTTCTTGTGTTCAGATTAGAACGTTCTGTGATTCTAGATTTGATTTTTTTCCTCCCCACTCGGTCAGTGTTACACATAGATCTATATATAAGTGAAATTAACATTTGAAAAATCTTACAAAAGGTTATTTACATTTAACTGATCAGCATAGTTTTTCTTAGAACTGTTTTTAAACAAGTGAATTAATCTTCTTGCAGTTTCGACAAAACTCGAATTCAAGTGCCCATCCCGGTCGGAGAACAGCGCTTCAGCAAGGAGCGCTCACTGATCTTTCGACAAATACAGATTTAACCAAGAAACGTATTGAGCGAGTACAACGAGCCAGACTCTACTTGCTCCAGCAGACAGGACCAAACTCTTTTCTCATTGGAGGAGACTCACCAGATCACAAATATAGAGTCATCATCGGGCCACAGGTTAGTAGCAGTGTTGTTGTGTTGGTTTTTTGTGTGTTTTTATTTTACTTATGTATTGATTGGTGTATGCTGTTGCCTTTTTTACACAGACAATAGCTTCTTTTTTTTAAAGAAGAAAATACTGCTTTATTTATTTCTGGTGTGAGTTTTGCCTTCCAGAAAAGCATGCATTGCAGTCAACATAATACCGTAATAAAAACTTCACATTTTTTCTACTCCTTGTGGTCCAGCACCATATTTTTCAGATGAGTTTAACGCTCTCAGTACCTTGTGAGCAATCAGCTCTTTGTGTTTAGTGAGTGCAGGCTTTGTTAGAAAAGAAATGGGACAAAAATGGTTAATTGTATTTGTTCAAAGTCATCCCTTTCCTTTGGTGTAGAACTTTCGATTTGATTTTGGACTAAAGCAGACATTATTTTCCCAACCCTGTCAGATATATATGTGTAGATGAGGAGTACACTAAAGTTTTGCAGAGTTCAGTTGTCGTCGTGATATGTGTTAAGTTCCCTGCGATTGTTGAAATCGACGGAAGTGAGTACTTTATTAGTAAGGTCGGTGGCCTAGTGGTTAGGCTCTCGGACTCGCAACCATAAGGTCGTGGGTTCGAATCCCGCCAGGGGCCCGACGTTGTGTCCTTGGGAAAGGCACTTAACACTTATTTTCCTCACTTCACCCAGGTGGGAATGGGTACCCGGCTATAGACAGCGAAATATCTTTTGTCAGTTTGTTAGTGTTTGAGCGCTTAATCGGCTGCTCGCACTGTATGCTTCCCGGGAAGCTGAGAATGTTTCGGAGTGTTCTATGGTCTGCTGGGGTAATAATATAGTGTAAAGCGCATAGAGCCTGCTGTTGAGCGGGGATATGCGCTATACAAATGCTATCTATTATTATTATTATTATTATTATTATATCCTCCCCCATTCCCTTTCCAGACGTGCAGTTGTGGCCGTGGACCTCACTGTGTGCATGTGTTGTTTGTGATGCTGCGAGTCTTCAAGGTGGGAGAGAGTGACCCCTGTCTCTGGAGCAGAACACTGAAAAACTACGAGGTTTGCCCACATACTTTGATTTCATTGCACTTTGGGTTTTTTTATAGTGGATGGGGTTGTTTTTTTAAAATAGGTTTTTAGATGAAGTGCAAGGAAATAATGGTATTCTGGCCCTGTCATTTAGTGAACTTGAGTCAACTTAATTAACTGATTCCGTCCATGATTTTTTCAGGCTCTGGACAGAATTATTTTTCCCTGTTCAGTTTTAGACCTGGGGTGCATCTATTTAATGCATGACTGTGAAGCTCTAAGTTACTCTAATATGCATTGTCATATACCAAACTGATGGGAATAAATAGAAGGATCTGTTTATATGGATAACAATGACCTATAATCTGTTTGTATTGCATTTTCCTTCTGACAAAAACGAATGAGAATAAAAAATTGCGCCACAGCTCTTCGAAAATTTTGACTTACCGCATTTTCCCAGCTCTACAAGTCCTTATAATCCATAGGAATCAACACAACATTGTAGTGATATCACCCTAGCACACATTTATGCAAGAATTTCACAAATTTAGTTGAATATCTTTCTTTGAAGAGCCTTTTATTATACCAGGCTCCGTGTTGTTTAACCCTTAGATCTAGCCTACATCGCGACAACAAAACAACGATTTTTGCAAGAATTTCGCGGAGTTTCAATCGATATTGGCGCTCAGAGATTGAGGTCAGGTTTGTTTACAAGTTCTACTTCCTTTCGACAACTTAAAAAGTAGGAACTATGTTAAAAAGTGCACCTTTGTTTCGGATTTCGTTGAGCCGCTCACAGCGGCCGGATGGAGGCAGCGGAAAAACTCAGAGCCGCTGTCAGTGGCCGAATGGACGGAATCAGTTTGCAGGACGTCTATTATCGGGTTGGATCATTTTTATTATCAAAATGTCAGAAAAAATTCAATCATACTGTACCGGACAATGTCTGAAATATTTTTCCTCAGGTTGAGAACCTGTTTCGTATCTACCATGACAAACGCAGCTCTCGGATTACAAAGCGACGTCCGTCTCAGAGAAAGAAAGAAGTGGTGAAACAAGAAGTAGAAGGGGGCGAAGAGGAAATGGAATCAAGCTCTACAGATACTCTGGATCACGGCAGGATGCCATCAGAGAGTGATGCAGGGTATGATTTGATGTCCTTTTTTTTTTTAGAATGTTTATAATTCAAGTAAAATCAGATGTTCTGCGTAAAATTTGTTACCCATGTTTTGAGAATTTTTGTACTGTGGGATTTTAGGGTAAATGTTGTTTGTTACTTCCCTTTAATTTCCTTGTTAATTTTGTACATTATAATGAAAATGTGTAAGAAGGCCAGTCGTCTTGGACGGCTGCTTTTCTTCTGAACAGTGAGTGGCCATTGTAGGCAGTTTCGACTGTATTTGAATTAAGTATGGTGTTGAAACGAGTACCTCATTAGCAGTATGTGACGTTGGTTGTTCCGGTAAGCTTTTTGTCTATCTAATAATAAAAGAGAAGTACATACAGTGCTTCCACTCTTCCGTATTTTTACGGAAATCCATACCTTCTGCCAGTTCTGTACTTGTTCCTCCATCATTATCAACTCTCTCCGTAAAAAAACTGCGATAGCGTAGGACTAGATATCTACTGAAATTCCGTAGCAAAAGATCCGTACTCGCCTTCGTATCGTCTTGTATAAGCTACGGATATTTACGGTAATTCTCTCGGCAATAAGTTAATGTTATAGAGACCTGCCAGATTACGTATTTCCTACAATCGGCCATTAATCCTCTGTGTCCCTTCCATTCATTGCGGGTTGGTCGGCAGTACATTTTTACCTGCAGATTGATCAAAATCTGGCAAACTTTTTGTGCCAATTTCCTCCTTTCTATCATTCACTCATTCCGTCTGTCTATCTTCGGACTGTTGCCGCGGCTGGAAAATATGCAAGTTGATCAAGTAAATTGACTGGTGATTTTAGACAGAAAATTGCTGTCAGAAAGAAACTTGTTTGCAAATTTATTCTCTTGATCTAGAGAAGTTATCAGTGCGAAGATTCTGCGGAATGGGAACACGATAACGGCCGCGATTAAAAAAATTTATGCTAAAACTACTAGATGTAAAATCAAGAATAATTCGAAGTGGTGTTCCGAGGTTGTGAGATGCAACATTCAGAAGTGAAAATTAGGGTATACGTTTGGTAGCTGTATTGTGAAGGTGCATATCTATTCATTATTCCCAGGTTTGCATTCTATCAATCGTGGGATGACAAATTAATTGAATTATAGTAGCAATGGAAGGGGAACCTGCTTTTAAACATTGCCAGCAATATATAGGTAAAAAACATCAAACAAGACAAAATGTTGGCGAACAAATAAATGTTATGCGTTGTAGGCAATCTCTTCAAACAGGCTCCCAAATGCCATTTTTTACCCTCTAAAAGCCCTAAATTTCAATTTCTTCGGGGGCATCGCCCCCTGAACCACCACCGGGACTCTGTCCCTGGACCCTGCTGGGGGCCTATGCGGCCTCCAGACCCCTGGCACAATTTTCCTTACTTTTCAGCTTCAGCTGGTGGAAGCACTATACATATTTAATATAGCAATGATAATGAAAAATGAAATTTTCATCCAAATTATTTTATAACAGGCTTAATTGAAAAGAAGAGTAAGTTCTAAGGACTATGGTGTGTAAATGTTGAAAATCCATTAATAAATAAATAAGTTATTGAGATTTTTGTTTGCAAAATTTGGGGGGACTTTCATATATATGAAAATATCGCCAAAAATTGGGACGTGTCTTGGTGTATTTGAGGCAAAATTGTTCCTCAGTCATTGGTGTATATGAATGAAACTTGGTGAATCTAGTTCTGCTATCACTTTTTCTATGCCTTTATTACTTTGGATCTTTAAGACTAATATTTGTGTGAAATTTGTTGAATTACGTGACATCGTTTTTACTGCGACCGATCATCCCTTTTACAACTCAGTAAAGCGTTATCTGGAAAACCCACAATGAATTCATCTGTGACCTATTTAGTTATAGGCAGCCAATCACATGCCGCCTAGCGATCACACGCCTTTCGCATGCCTGCAACTCACGTTTTGAATCCATGATCTAGTTTCCAGCTCTAGTGTTTTATCAATGGATGAGTGATCATTTTAAGTTGTTACGTAACGTGGACTACAACCAGATCTAAAATTTTACAGCAATAAAAAGAAATGTGGGGGCGCTTGTGTGGTCGACGATCAATCCACAGCTCTGCTTAGTTTTCTAACCCCAGAGGAAAATCACACAAACACTGCAATTTCTCCGGTTCTAGAAATCATTCGGCATTGTACGTTCGCATGTCATTAGTTTAACCTTTCCTCTGATTCGTTGCCGAGTTTCATTTATTTTCGTCCTCAATTTTTCCCGTAACTATTCTTAGAAGAGAGTCACCTCTGATCCCGAGTGGCCCAAAAATTGATATTTGATGGTTTAGACCATTTCATTTTGTTGAAATATAAATTGGAGACTTGTTTCTTTTAATCCTTGTTTTTGCATTTGAAATTTTAAGTTGTTTCTTAGACTACTCCTCTGTGCTATGAATATTTGTATGGCCCCTTTTTCCAGGAATACATTTTCTTATTTTCACAGGACTATTCTTTTGCTCAAACCCTCCTCCCACCCAATTAAAAAAGAATTAAAAACATCCTAAATTTATATCTGTTTCAACATCTGTCTTGTTTAGAAGTGTGCGGGAGGAGGAGGACACATGCCCAATCTGTCTCTTGGAAATGTTGGAAGGAGAAAGTCTGATCTGTTGCGAGAATGGCTGCCACAATCGTTTGCACCACCACTGCATTGCCATATGTAAGTCCACTGTTTATGCCTCTTGAAATGATATTTCTAAACCGTTTTAGCGTTTTTCTGAAATTGCCCAAATTGTGCACTTTATGTAAAAAAATATTCTTGATGCATGATATCTATAAATTTTGAGTCCCAACGTGCAGTTTTTAAAAGTTCATGATTTTTTGGTGTTGCCAGTTGGTATCTCTGTGTGTTATACCATGAGTAGTTATATATTTGACTGGGTCCAGTCAAGAACCTCTCTGTCAGAGGCAAACTGGCTAGATCCTTGAAGTTAATCCCTTGTGAGAAACTTGCAGCAACTGACTCGAAGAACCCTGTTGGTTGCTGCTTGTTGCCATAGTTCCGGTTGCTTACTTTGCTTTGGTGAGTCAGCCCTCAATCTCTCCATCACAGGGTTTGAGGAGTGTCGCCGGCAAAACGACCCCCTGAACTGTCCCCTGTGCCGGGCCCAGTGGAAGACCACCACTGTGGAAATCAAAAGGTATGTGTGTGGATGCTGCAGATGACAGTCTGTCTTTGTGTGTATTTGCAGTTGGTCTTTTTTTTTCAGCTTATGATAGATTAATATTGCTGTAAGTGATATTTCAGATATTTTTTAGAGAAACAGTCTGGGTGATTGTGAGGAAAAATTGTATGTCGAGATAGGGTACCAGCGAGAGGCTGAAAGAAATCTAAATTGTCTTCACAGGACCAACGAAGCTTTGACTATTTGTGTTACAAAGGTAAAAGCATAGTGGTTTTTCATGAGACAGAGGCTGATATTTAAAACATTAAAACGTTTTTGTAGTTAAAGTCCATAAATTCCTTGTGTGTTCAGTGCAGCTTTTTAGGGATCCATGATTTATGTCTTTTGTTTATCATAAACATGAATGCGTCCTGATATGTCCTGTATTTTTTCCCCAGTACACAGAGCAGCACACCCCCAGATGGCCCCGACGTGCCACCAAACACCCGCGCTTCTTCCCCTCAGCCAGAGGAGGACAGCTATCGATTGCCATACGCAGAACCCATACCCCCGGAGCTTCAGGAGACGGCTGCCCCATGGATTGAGGTAAAGATTGCTCAGTTTTGTCACTGTAAACCTGATTTCCTTATTAGTTTGTTACTGTCAAGCTCTTTTGATTGAACAGGGAATTTTGTTTTCCATTATTAACAAATTGTTTTTGTAGAAAATTGCATTAAATACTGGTAATAAAAGCCATTGGTGCTTAATTTGTGAAATCTAAAGTAATTTTAAAATTTTGTTTTGGTCTTTTTGAATAGATAATTTGAAAAGGTGTGCAACACTTACATGTACTGAAAGATAATTAATTGGCATGAAATTGTGATGGAGTCTGCACTGTATGTGATGAATTGCTGAGGAAAATGAGATGCTGTAGATTGTCTTGATAAATCAAACTATTGTGTAGAAGCCAAATATTGACCTCAGCTAATTTTTGCTCTGTGAAGTAGCATAGAACCAATTTATTCTTTTTTCTTACAACAGCAGTGAAAGTTGACTTGTTTTTTTATTTCCTACTTCGGTTTTTCTTACTGCACTTATGTTTGTTTTAACATAAATTAGAGGTCAGTAATATATGGCAGTGAAGATATTGCTGTTGTTGTAATGTTGCTGCATTACTGTTATAATCTGCCATCTCCACCCACCTCATTTTGTAATTGTTGTTTCAGGCCCTTGGTTCGGACTTGGTTTCGTGCCTTTTGTCTCGCAACTGGTCTATCCGAGAGGCAGGACTGAAACACCTGAGCAAGGAAATCATGGCCACGCTGATCAAAGGAGCCGGGGAAGGGAGGTCGGGGGTCATCGTGTCACCTGTGCGTCGGGCAGCGACCCACAACATGCTGCAGACGGCCTGTAACATCCTGGCCTACATGTGTGCCGATCCGGTGTACCGAGTGTTTGTGGCCTCCTTGGTGCGTGGTTTTAACTCAGTTTTACCTTTGTTATAGTCTTCTGTCTTGTTTATAGGCAAGATGGGTCTAAGTTCCAGTATTATCCAAGGGGGGGCCTGGTCAAAATCCAGTGAATCTTCTGCGTCAAGTGCAAGATGTGAAACAGACATCAGCAATCATCGTTCACTATTAATTCTTCTGCTCGGACATTCTCAAAGAACATTTTATCCTGTTCTTTTCTTGTGTCCCATCTGGTGCAGTCCCTTAAGTAAGTTGTCCTTGGTTTACCTGTGCCCTTTTTTTTTGCTGTTCATTTTTCCAGTGAGAGCAAGATTTCTATGTTCATCTCTTCGTATTTGTTGTTATTAGAAATAACACAGAAAATAACTTCACTGAGAAAAGTGAGTAATTAAATCTTTGACGAAATATTTGATGTGTGCTTGCTTGGGTCCGGGGGTTGGTCGAGTTTGTGACTGTTGAATTCATCTGACTTAAACTGCTCCTGTCTGTGATATGGCGTCTCTGTTGACCGTCTACAGAGATCCATGAGGACAATGTTGTCATACACGCCCTGCAGAGATGCTGAGCAGAGAAAGAGGTTGCAGACTATTCTGAAACCCATTGTTGAAGCCATAATTCTCAAGTGTACAGACGGTAACAGGTCAGTCTGGTTTTTTGTGTGTGTGCCTGAAAAAAGGTACCAAAAGTCGCATCAGATTGTTTTGAATGCAGGCTAATAATGACAAAAAATCGCTTTTTTGACCAGAATGTGTTTCCATTTTAAAAAAAGATAGATCGTCTCCATTTTTTAACAATATTTGAAAATGGTTTTCATTGATTTGACTTTTCGATATTTTATTTTAAATCATTTTGAGGGTGGGGTATTTTTTAAACAGATAATGAAAAATGCTTTTGAAAGGTGTTATCTATTCTTGGAGCACGTTTTCTCTTCCCCGCTATGTTTTACTATTGAATTCTAATCATGATATTGATATCAACTGAATGCCCAACTAGAAATGAATTTTCTATGAATAGATACATTAGAAACAATTGAATCATCGGGGGGTTTTTTTCAAGTTTGTATGTGTTCACAAACCACTGTGTTCAGCATAAAATTTCCTATTGGATACAACCCTTAACTCAAAATGGTCAAATCTGACTTTTGCTACCTTTCTTCAGCCACACACACATTTACTAGCAGTAGTATGCATTATGGTACAAATATGTATTTCTCTTTCCTTATTGATTTAAATGCTTTAATGGGAAAGTGCAAACTGTATTTTGTTTCAAGTTTAAGAGTTGTTGAAAGCACATGGAAAATAATATGTGAACCTCTTGTGCCTAAGATGACATTTGTTATCTTTGCAGAAAAGTTGAGGATTCTTGTTTTGTAGTACACAGAATTGAAAAAAAAAGGAGTTTATACAGTTGTTTGTCAAGTTTTTTTCTTTTCTCTACCTTTCCCTGGGCTTTTCAATATCGACTAATCTGTTTGAAAAACTGTGATGCTTACAGAAAGCATAGTGCTGTTCCTTACCTTGTCATTGTTTGTATTCACAGACGCACCAGTCAGCTGTCTTTGTCTACTCTGGTGGAGCTAGGAAAAGGACAAGATGGGGAACTAGCTGTTGGCAGAGAAATTTTGAACCCAGGTATGTTGTACATCTTTGTGTATTTCTTCTTGGTTCTGCTGTTACTCACGTTAGAATACTGTTTCAACGATTGGGTCCTTTTTTAAGAGAACTATGGTGCTTAAAAACTACTTTTTGTCTTTCTTTATAATTTTCAATCTCATTCTATACTGTTAAACTGTATGCTTCCTAGGAAGTTGAGATTGCTTCAGAATGCTATCAGGTCTGCTGAGGTAATAATATAGATTATAAAGCACATTGAGCTTGGCCTTGAGCTGGAATTTGTGCTGTACAGATTCGAGGGCCGCCAGGTAAACGATGGTAAGTTATGTTTTAAAAATTTTAGAGGAGAGACAAAAAACAGATTTTCTTGAAGCGTTTTGGGTGGATAAACTTCATTTTTGTAAGGGAACCTGATGTCTTGTCATGGCATTAATTGTAGTCTCCCTTATGATAGTGAAGTTTATCCCTCCAAAATGCCTCAAGAAAATTTGGTTTTTGTCTCTCCTCTAAAATTTGAAAAACATGACTTACCGTAGTTTACTTGACGGCCCTTGAAATGCTATCTGTTATTATTTTATCATTTTGTTTTATCTTTTTTGTGCTGATTGGACTGCTTAATACACAATGAATTAAATTCATCCACTCTCAGGAGCTGATGGTCTGGATGGACTGAACTACGTCCTGAAGTGTGTCACGGAGGAGTACAGCATAGAGTCGGTTCCCTGGCAGTGGCTGCTGGGTAGGCTCTACGTCATCGACAGACTGCTCGAGGAGTTCCCTGCAGACTTCCTGCCTCGTCCTGAAGAAATGCCCGACGCCGCGGGTGCCGCTGATGCAGGTGGGTTTTCAGTTTGAGCTGAGAATTTTGTTCCCATCAGAAATCAGCTTTGGTACATTTCCTGCTCTCTAATCTTAACCCTCGAAGTAACCTTAACAAATAGCCAGTGGTGTCAGGGGAAATTATATGATTTCATTCTATTATTTTGGAAAATGCTTGTGAACAGGCAAACCAAGCTAGTAAAAGCCATAGACTTGTACATTGTCAGAAAAAATTGGGGCTGATTAAATCAGCCATGACACCATAGAACGAAAATTATAGCTGATGTGATGGGTTATGAACACTAGGAAGATTAATTATGTACATGCGGGTTATGTTAGCAGTCGGCAGTAAGCAAAGTGTTAAGTATGTCATCCAAGATAACTTCCATTTGTTTTAGAACAATGTAATGTGTCATCTTGCATATATAGCTGTACATTTTATGTTTGTATTCTTATTTCTCAGGCCTATATGACCATGACTGTGTCAATGTCTTTATTGTTAACCCAAGCAAATAAAAATGCAAGTTGCAATACTTTTTTCATGGCTGGTTGGCTCTGGTGTGGGTTGCTCCTTCTTTCCTGTCAAACGTCTATCATCCTTGTCTCTCCTCCTCCTTTTTTGTTTTTATTACTATGCTCTTGTAACACCTCTGATCTTTGGCACTTGTATGACCTAATTGTGTTGCAAGTGCAGTAAAATGCTCACTAAAAATGTTCTTTTACCCCCTCCCCTGGCAGATGATGCAGGGGACGTGGAAGGAGCAGCAGCAGGGCCTGGTGAGGGCAAAACTCAGGGCGAGTCCAGTGAAATTGGTGCTTCTAATTATAACCGTCTGATGTCCGTGGCCCACTTCTCTGTGAAAGCTGTGTGTAGCGCACACATGAGGATCGCCCGCATGTCCCGTCGGGTGTTCCTCCTCTCTGCCAAGTTGGGCGCCCACGTCCAAAGCGTCATCTTGGAGCTGAAAGATCTCCTGGCGCAGATTGACTCAACTTCGGTTGCCTCCCTACGACGCAAGCTGGACAGGATTGTGGAAGACTTTCAGCTTTCTGAAAGGATCGTACATGAATTGATGCACGGATCGGGAAAGAAAGGAAGGCTTGATTCCCCCTGCCATACTCCTGTGGAGTCTCCGTCTTCCACTCCCCGCTGCAACTCTCCAGTTCACGGTGGAAATGATCAGCATAGTGAGATGGGTGGGACATCTGTGTCTGACAAGACTGCCCCGGTACCTTCGGTTCCTCCCAACAGCCCTGTACAGCGGCCTAAAAGAAAGCTGAAACGTGCAATACCTCGGAGAAGTTTTCGCGAAACCAACCACCCTTCAACCCCTCCACCAACGTCAGAAAATTCTCCAGAAAAAAACAGTATACATCAAAAGGAAAATCTGGTCCCTGAGACCAAGGGGAAACCAGTGTCAGGGGATTTCCCTGGCATTGGTTTGACCCGGCTTGGCAGCTCCAGTCCTCCAATCAGGAAAAGATCAAATCTTCCCCTTCGTCGGAAGACCATCGAGGGGGATAACGTGTCCAAAAGGGGAGGCTCGTCTAGTCCCACAATCCGCCGAAGAACGGTGGATGGCAGCACTTTGTCGTGTGGATCGTCCCAGTCAGCCCCACCGCCCGCCTCCCGCACCTCTCCCACCACTGTCCCAGCACAGCAGCAGCTACCGCCAGTGTCGTCCCGTGTTCCACCGCCCATCATGTTGAGCCCCATTCTTCCAACCATTTCTGTCACGGACACATCCGCTCAGGGTACGGGTATGTTTAACCCGGTAGCTCTCTCCGATCTGGACGAGAACGCAAAAGAAAGCAGCGAGGAAGCGGACAGCGGTGGGGGTGCCGACTTTTACGGCACCCTCAAAGCCTCGGCCCGTCACGAAGAGGATCACATGTCTCTATGCACCAAAGAAGATCTCAAGTGCCCAGCACCACCACCAAACTCAAACGGCAGCAAGTCTCAGTGTTCACCACCCACCGCAGCGGCACCCTCCTCGTGTGGTTGCCAGTGTCATTGCCAAGATCCACCTCGGCCTCTTGACTCGACGACAGCCTCACCAAAGTCTGGCACAGTCGGCGTGCCGAACACACCGGAGAGCGCTGACAACAGTCATTACCACACGGCAGAGCATGAGTCGATGAGCAGTGACGACTTCCTCGACTTCTCGCAAGAGGCGACCCCGTCAAAAGATGAGAAGCCTGTGTCTTTCAAATCGGAAGTTGCTGAATCTCCCAAGTCCTCCCCCAGTCACTCAGTACATAGTGGTGAGTACTTGCTCTCTTAAAATTATTTTTTTAAATGTCGGAATTAATCAGTGATGTGTAGGGCTCAATGTTTAACCACTTGAACTGTGAGGTTTTTTTTAACCACAACTTCTTACAGTTGAATTGTTGAGGGGTTGGGAGCAAAACTGCACCTTTGTCAGTCAAATTAAGCCGAGTACTTTTTCACACCACGTACAATGAGGATGGAGAACACTTGACTGCCGTCATTTTTTAAAGTACAGTAAATGCGTTTTTGAAACAATTTTATAGAAAAGCCAAAAAACTGAATGTTGTTAGCAAGAAAACAAACTCTTTGCAAACATCCATGCTGTTGAGACAAGACACTTGGCAACCTCTGTGCTTTCTTGCCCTATCTCCATTTTTAATAACAGTGAAAACAGTTCATAACAAAGAGTGAGCTTAAGAGGAAGTGACATTTTCAATGTTAAAAAAATGGAGACGGGACAAGAAAACACGGAGGTCGGGACATGATAATAATGTATGTATTAACCCCAGACAGTACACTTGATTATGATGTATGCTTCTTGTGTGCAAAGGTTTAAAAAAACAAAAAACCTTTACTGAACGTTATTCTTGTAGGTGCTAGTTCGAAAAGCGACGACTGTGGGACGTGCAAAGAGGAAGTGGAACGCGAGGAGGCGGAGGCTCTGGCCAAGGCGCTGGACGTGTCGGAGAGACAGACCCCGTGCCCCGTGGTGCCAGGACTAACCCCGTCTGCCCGGGAGGAGGTCATCACCATCAGAATACAGCCTGACGATGTGAGTGCTGTTTGGGTCAGCCTTCGGTTTTTGTATATGGGGCATTTGGGGGGGGGGGGAATATGGCTCTCATTAACCCTGTCCGTACGCCCTGGGGTCATTTTGTACCCCCGTGGTTATATTCTTCACATTTTAGAATACTTTTAGTTCGCAGATCTCTTTGAAACTTTCAGTATTTCTTAAAAAATCATTTTGATAGACTGCTGTGCAAAGAATACGAATTGGATTAACGAGTAATTAGGTTTGTAAGTAAGAACGTGGTGTGCCTATTTCTTCTTCTTTCTAATCAGAAGTCTATCGTCTTTATCTCTTCTTTTTTTTTTTGGTGTTTGTTACTCTCTTGTAACACTTCTAATCTTTGGCATGTGTATGACCTTATGGTGTTTGAAGTGCTGTAAAACGCTTATTAAAACTAAAAACGAATCTATCTTCAACACACTAATGACCTTATTGTGTTGGAAGTGCTGTAAAACTCTTACTAAAACGGCCTGTTGTGTGGTCCAGGAAAGCGACGGTGTGTCGAGTGCTCCTTCCATGTACATGGAGAAGGTTCACTGGGTGAAGGGACCACTGCTGGGCACAGGAGCCTACAGTTCTTGCTACCAGTCACGGGACGTCCGCACTGGGGTCATCATGGCGGTCAAGCAGGTCAGTGTCGCGATCAACTCACAGGGTGGGGGGTTTGCAGGCACTCTGGTGTGATATGTGAGGTGTGCTGACAAAATGAGTTACTTCTCGCAATATACAAATGAAGAGACTGGCCAAAAATCGACCCTAGGGTCAAATTTGTAGCTTTACAATTGATGTCATATTTTCAGTTTAACATGCTTTTTATTATTTCATACTTTTGTAAATTGTAAAGACCACCTTTAAGCTTTAAGTGTGATGTATCTATTTCCCTTTGGCTCATATCCGAGAAGTAACTCATTTTGTCAGCAGGCTTCACATATGCTCTTTTATTTTCCGTCCAATATCCATCATCCTTATCTCGCCTCCTTTTTTCTTTGTATATATATTGCTTTATAGGCATATGTCAAATCTTCGGCACTTACATGACCTATTTGTGCTGCAAGTGTTGTAGAACTTTTACTATAAGAGTAAATCTGTGTTTGTATTGCGCAACACTGAAACGTTTGATAAACTATACTGTTACATTGTTCATGGCATTGCTGTTTGACTTTTGCTAAAGCAGGTGGATGGAGGGTGCCACCGGTAGGTCCTACTTCTTTACTTTCCCTCTGTCGATTCTGTCTGTCTTAATTTTTTTCCAGCTCTAAATTACCGTTATTGTGTTGATATGCTTTTCTTTACTCAAACAAACTCAAAATTTTACTTAGTCGGGTAATATTCCTTTTCACATTTTTGTCCTGTTTCCAGATCTCTTTTTGCCGCAACTCCCCTCAAGAGCAGGAGAAGGTGGTGGAGGCGATCACAGAGGAGATCCACATGATGGCCAAGCTCAACCATCCCAACATAGTGAGGATCTTGGGGGCCACAAAGCAGGGCTGTCACTTCAATATGTTTGTGGAATGGATGCCCGGTAGGTCCAGCAGTCTTTCATGGGGGGGGGGGGGGGGGGGGGGGTCATGCCCTGTTTTTCATCATAATTAGATATACAATTAGGTTTGAATTTTTCTTGAAAAAAATTGATTTGCAACAGTTTTATTGGTCATGTATGTGATCTGCAGCAATCAATACAGCCGTTTGACCTCCAAAAGCAGTAGGTCTGAGTGTGAGAATAAAAGTGAAAATTTACTTGTTGTCCTTGTTCCTGGTTACTTGTGCAGGGGAGGGACAAAGCTGGACTAGGCTAGGTCTGCATACTCAGAAAATGGAATTTTCGTCGAGGACCCTCTCTTTACTATTACTCCTGTGACGTCCAAATGATCTTCATTGTGTTCATATGCTCAGACCTGTTAAGTACACACTTTTAAAAATCGGAGATTTTTCTGTGTTTCATTGCCTTTGGAAAGGCTTTGATTTTTTTTTTTGCACTCGTTTTTTTTTTCTAGTAGCAGTTGTTGTTGTTGTTGTTATCCATCCAGCAACAGCTGGGCTCTCGCCCTTCTGTCCAATGCCATGTAAGCAGTCAGTGTATTTCTTTATAGTTCTGGCAAGAACTCACAGCATATTGAATTACTTGTTTCTTTGTGTAGGTGGCTCTGTGTCTTACCTGCTGGGGGAGTACGGAGCGTTCACTGACCAGGTGATCGTCAGTTACACAAGGCAGATACTCAGAGGATTGGCTTACCTGCATGACAACCAGATTTTGCACAGAGATTTGAAAGGTAAACATTTTCTTTCAGCACGAGCTGGGGTTAATGATGGTGTCGGAGAAGAACCTGTCTTCCACAAGTGAAAATACTGAACTTACTTAATTTAATTTATTACCAGACAACAGGTATACCTTTTTGCTGAAATGGCTATTATAACCAGTGTGCTGATACTTTTTCTAAAAGTATTAGTCTTGTTTTTTTTTAGTTGACCCAAAGCTTAACGTGTAGACTCTGCTGTGTTTGTCAGCCTTGTAAGGAACGATAAGAAAAATAATTCCTCTATACTATGCATTTTAGCCATTGTAAAAAATGGGGCACAATGTTGTAGTTAACAACAATGGTGTATTTGCATAAATTGAATATATATATATATATATATAATATATATATATATAATATATAGTCGAACCTGCCTTAACGGAAACCTGTGTTAACGGAATCTCCCCGCTCCCCCCTTGATATATTCCTCTTTAATTACCTGTATAAAATGGAAACCTGTCCAACGCGGAAACGGGAAGAAAAATCCGCTTCCTTCTGAGGGTTTCACCTGTCTAAGACGGAAAATGCTTTGCCCACTCAGCCTTGATTTGAAACAAAACTCTCAAGTTTGGTTCCGACGGCTCTAAACTTAACGCTATGGCGTTGCCGCTGGGCGAGGAAGGGGAGTAGGGGTGCAATTTGGGGGTAGATGTTACCCCATCATGTGAGCCCTGAGCGATGGAGATGATCAGTGTAGTGTGGGTGTGAAATCTCATGACTACCCATGAGAGTGCTTGAGTAGCGAGCCATTAGGGAAACTTTCTTGGGTAGCCAGAAGCCAGAGATGTGAAATTAGATTGACCAATGCCAGCCGAGTAAAGAGTTCCTCGTATCGTTGTTACATGGCAGTGAAGGGTGGCATTGGTGGGTGTGGCTACGGGTGGAAGCAAAGGAGATGTTCAAACGTTCTGATAAGTCAAACAGTGGTCCTATGAAAGGCAAGCACTGGTGGTAATTGGATAAGTAAGACCAAGGCGCTTAAGAGAACTACTTTCAATCTCCTTGAGTAAGACTAAGACTGACACATGTCATATTATCAGACAGGATAGCAGTTGAGAGGTGTGAAGTTTTTACCACCGCTTGCCGATCGGACAAGCGATCCTTGATCCCCTGGCTGGGCCTATGAACCCCCCCCCCCCTAAATTCCCCTGTCTAAGACGGAAAATGTCTCAGACGGAATTTTTTTCTGGCTCCCTTGCGATTCCGTCTTACACAGGCTCGACTGTATATATATATATATATAAATTATGATTTGTTTGTGTCTGTGAAACAAATTTCCTTCAAAGAAGGCTTAACAAAGTATTTTCTTTTTTTTCTGAACTGCTGACAAAACCATCTGAACTTGATATGTTTGTTGGGGTATGTTCTGGGCATGAATACAAAACATTGAGGAGTTTATAGTGCGGTAAAAAATTCATGGCACAACTTACTGTCAAATATCTCCTCAACTATCTAACATAAACTGCCCAGCAGCATGTTTCAATTTGTTTCAACAGATCAATATTCTTGTAAACACCTGTTAGCTTTATTGTAGAAAATTTCTTTATAACTAATAAAAAGTCCCAATGAGTGGTTTCTACAAATTTTATGAGGTTTACAGCTGGGACAATATCTTTTTTAAAAGCAAGTTCGTCATTTTTTTTTTCTAATTGCGAGATTATGTTTATTGAACGCTTGTTTTGAGGACATTTAGTGCAAAAAAGTGTTTACTATAAAATTAGTTCCATGTAACTAGTTTTACCACTAAAAAGTATCATTGGTGAACAGTGACGTAGACTATATGCATACGCAAAATGTGTGTGAGAAGCGGGAAGTGCTGTGAACAATTCCATTTTCCGTGTGAAGGAGATTTGTAGTATTTTATATAAATTAATTAAGAAAAGTTTTTTTTGTTTAGTTATAGCCTCAATTGTTGTAGAAAAATATGATTAAGTTGATACACACTGCTGTGCAAAGTATGGGTGACATTGATTCACCCGTTAAAATGATATTTGAGGATAAATTGAGCCACAAATTTTTGACCAAACTATAGTTTGACAAGTTTTTATTTAGAGGATAATGGTGGTCTCTGTGGCTTCAGGAGCAAACCTCTTGGTGGACAGCACGGGGCAGGCCCTTCGTATCGGAGATTTCGGCGCCTCGGCTCGTCTCGCGTCTCAAGCCACGGGAGCCGGCGAGTTTCAGGGACAGTTGCTCGGGACCATTGCCTTTATGGCACCAGAGGCAAGTTGAAAGATGGCGCGGTTTGTCACAGTTTGTGTTCGTGTCGACCGTAGATGCTCAGTGGACATCAGTTTAGCAGCTGCAGCTTGACATGTTTAAAAAGGGGAATGGGACATTGAACCCCTTTCTGATTGGTAGGATTTAGGGGAGTTCTGATTTTGTTTTCATGAACAACAGTGAATGAGTTATAGGAGATTATTCTTAGTAGATCTATGAAATTACATGCGCTCTATGCACTGATGTGCACTAGAAACAGTTTTCTAAGATGAGTTTTTGACGCTCAAATGACATTATGCAGTTGCAAGCGCCGTAAAACCTCCACTAAAACAAATATGAGTTGCTTTTTTTTCCACCTAGTATAGAAAGAGTCAGATTGTCAGTAGAACAAAGTTTTGTGACTGTGGAATTATTGGAAAAGACAAGAACAGAATGTACCAGTTAATTGGTCAGATTCAGTGTCAATGTAGCCTTTAGAGGTACGGTTGTGCCTGCTCTAACAGTGACCTTTTTAAGACAATCGCCTGTACAAACGGCCTCTTCCCTTTTCCTCCCTTGCTTATTTTTTACATTATAATAACACTGTATAATATGTTCACTGCCTAAAGCAACCACTTTTCTCGAGGATAATGGGTGACTGTCTTAGACTATTTCAGTGGGTGGTTGGCGGTGCTCAGGTGTGGTTTACCCCTTCTTTCCTATCTAATGTCTATCGTCCTTATCCTTGCTTCTTTTTTGTGTTTGTTACTCTCTTGTTCGTAATACCCTTCATCTTTGGCACCAATACGACCTAATTGTTGCAAGTGCTATAAAACTCTTACTTTAAAAAAAGACTATTTTGACTGTGTTCACCATGTGTAAATGTCGAATGGACTCTCTGGTCATCAGGTACTTCGTGGGGAGAGTTACGGCCGAGCCTGTGACATCTGGAGTGTGGGTTGTGTCATGATTGAGATGTCCACGACCAAACCACCATGGAATGCCACGGACATATCAAACCACCTTGCACTGATTTTCAAGGTATTCAAAAAATACTTCACTTGGTTTTGTTTTTAGAAGCTTGAGTAAAGTTGTATGCACACTATTGTTTGAGTCTTTATGTAGTATTTGGTTTGTGGGTGGTTGGCAGATGCTCTGTTTTGGTTTGCTTCTTCTTTCCTATTAAACATCTATTGTCTTTATCTCCCCACCTTTTTTGTGTTTGTTACTCTCTTGTAACACCTATCCTCTTCGGCACTTATATAACCTTATTGTGTTGCAAGTGCTGTAAAACTCTTACTAAAACTAAAACTAGTATTTAGAGGTTTTTTTTTGTCTTTTTGACATCAGATCAACGAGTTAACTTACTTAAGTGCAACCATAAAAAGGATTGATTTACAGCTGTTTACATTTGAATGGATGACAGAAGTATTATAGGCTGACCTCTTTGTTTGAGGCTTGTGTTATGTAAGGAATTTGAACAATGTGTTCTGTTTGGATGCTTCTTTAAAAAATTCAGGTTACACAGGGGAAAAATATAGTACCACCATAGTAATATTATAATGTTTTCTAGTGTTTAGATTTTACATTCTCAGATCGGTGGGTGGTTGGAGGGTGCTTTGGTGTGGTTTGCTCCTTCTTTCCTATCAAACAGCTTTTGTCTTTATCAGTTCTCTTTCTCTTTTGTTTGTTACTCTCTTGTAACACCTCTAATCTTCGGCACTTATATTGTATGTAGTATAGGGTTTTACGGCGCTCGCAGCGGCACTTATATGACCTAATTGTGTGTTGCAAGTGCTGAAAAACGCTTAACTAAAACAAATTTTCAGATCGCATCGTCAGTGGACTCCCCGCCCATCCCAGAGAACACAGCACCCCCTCTGAGAGACCTGATGCTTCGATGCCTGGAGCAGGCGTCGGCGGACCGGCCCTCGGCCAAAGACCTGCTCCTCCACCCTCTGTTCACGCAGTGCTTCACCAACAACTCTTACAACGGCACCAGCTACACTGGCAGCAGTTTATCCACTAAAAAGTGAGTGCTGCTGAAGAAGTTTTAGCTGGGGGTTTTTTTTTAGGGGGGAGGGGGGGCAAGTGTTTTACGGCGCTCGCAACTGCATAAGGTCATATGCGCTCGCGGGACACACTAAACATTTTCAGTTGGTAGGAAATTTTGAATTTTGCCTGGGTGGCGGCTGAAGCATACTCTTATCAATTTTAGACCACCAAGCCATCTTTAACGTACGCAACTTGCACATGGGGCCTCCGAGATTTTTTTCTCCCTTGTCCGAGAAGGCTAGGTGTAGATCTTTCCTACCAGAAGATCAGGGGTGTGACTGAAAGACAACAGTAAGAAGGAGCCAAGGAATAGCTGTAGAAAGGCTGCAGAAAGAGATTGGAGCCTAGAGGAGTGGGCAAATGAGGTGAGGGGGTGGGGGAAGAAAGCAGACGACAGAACATTGCTAGAGAGCAGTGAAATAGGTGAAAGGAGACAATTTTAGAGAACATTTTTCGGTCGCTACCTGGATTCGAACCCGGGACGTTTGAATGAGAGGCGAACACCTTAACCTCAAGGCAACGAGACCCCCTCTTTAGCGTGTCACTATCAAAATTGATGACTGGAGCAGTTAAAAAGACCATGCACTTTCCTGGTCACATAATGCTGGGCAGCAATGTTGAGCTCAGGGAACTGTGGGACTCTTATTCTAAATGTGAATTGCTTCTTTCGATAACTTGTGTTGGAAGGAATGCTTGTCAAAATACATAGTTCAGAGTGTTTACTGTTAACAACTTCAGTTTACAAAGACTTACTTACATGTCTTTATCATAAAAAATGAATGACAATTTTTTTAATGAGTGACTTTATTTACAGTTTAGTGCTCAGGGACCTCTTTCACCCACTCTCCGTATAGTTTGAATACGATCTCGTGTCTCGTCAAACTTTGTTTGAGATGGAGCGAAATATCAATTCCATGATGGTATTGACATCTTTTCTTTTATACGTTTTTCTCTTTCCTACACCCTTTTTTGCCTTCTGTTGTTTTTTTCCATCTCTACCTTGCCCTTCACTGTTACTGTGTTGTTGTACTATTCTTTACTCAGGCAAACTTGCAATTGTTGATGGTTGGCAGGTGCTCTGGTATGGTTTGCTCCTTCTTTCCTATAAGACATCTATTGTCCTTATTGTCCCTCCTTTTTTATGTATGTTGATCTCTTATAACACCTCTACGTTATTGTGGTGCAAGTGCTGTAAAACTCTTGCTAAATCTAAACGTGCAATCACGCTAATGGTTTTTGTTGGTGTTATGTTTCAGGTGATGTGGTAGGATTTTCTCCTAGCTGTGCCATAACCAAAGCCCCCCCCCCCCCCCCCCTCCTCCCCCAGTGGCTGTGTGTTGCGACTACCCACTGACAAAGGACAACTATGTTGAGGACCCCTCCACAAAGGCAGCTGCTACTATAAGCCAATGACGCTCGGTGTACCGGCGATTCTAGATCACGTTTGTGTGAGAGGAGAGAGTTGGAGTGCCGTTGTGTGTTTGAAGAAGAAGGACTATTTCTTGGAGAACAGGGCACCCTCTCTTTAGTTATTTTATTCTCCCCCTCTTCTCTTGTTCTTTCGTTTGTAGAATACGACATGAAAATGTTTCTTTGTTTCAGTTTTATTGTAAAATGGCATGTCTCACGTGGCAGTTTACTGACTCGCACAATGGCCATAATCGTTATTTCAATTTTCATCTTCCAGTTCAGAGACATTTATTAAGAATGAGGTGGCGGAAAAGCCTTCAGAATTCCAGTTTGTTTACAAAAATCTGATTTTATAATCTGAAAAGCCTTCTGTCTCTCTGTAATTTGAGTCATTTCTGAAATGAATTCTGGAGTTCATCTCTAGTTTGTGGAAACTTTTGCTCCAAAGAGCCCATTTTCATATACGGCTAGTTTGATTTAATTTTACCCTGGTATTTACACTTTTTATCTTGTTTATGTAGATAAAACTTAAATCTTTACTTAACTCTTATACTTACTGCTGTCAACTTTTCATTTTTTTGTCACTTACATTTTTCTCAGAATCTGTCATGTGTATATCTTGAACGTCCTAGCTGGGGAGACTCCCAGCAGGTTTTCCTGGGCAGTTGTTTTAGTATTGGGGGGTGAACCGGGCATTTTCCCCGAGTACCAGTTTTTGACTCTGGTAAAAGTAAAGTATAACCCCCCCACCTCATTTGGTCTTGCATAATGAGGATCACAGCGAGCTGCTGCCTGTTCCCGTAAGGCACAGCTAGTTCGACATCCACTATGATGTCCCTGATGTTTTACACCAGGTCAAGCAGTGTAGAACTGGGGCGGCTGTACTTTACTTTTATCATAGCTGGCTTACTCTGTGTGGGAATGCCGGTCGTCGTCCCACAAATGTTCCTTTTGCCGTGGACCTCCGGGGTTTCCAGCCCCCCCTGATGGTCGCAAGTCCTACTTTACTTTACAGAAACTGTTCCCGACTGTGATATATTGTAACCTGTTGGTGGTGGGTTGTGCATTCGACTTCTGGCCAAAGGTATAAATATTTTTTATATCCAAGCGCCAAAAGTCTGGGACCAATTCCTGAATTGCGTCTCGTTTCGACATTTATACTTGTATATTGATGATGATCATGTTATGTGCAATGGTGTCCCAAACATGGGCATAAAGATTTCGAAACCCAGCTTGTTATCACGAATGTTATGAACACACATCGTCTTCCGTTGTGCACAAAGTACAAGCCTGTTACATTTTAAAAGAAGCACATTTTAAAATCCTTTTTTCTACAAGGGCTGCAATAGGCAGTCATGAATTTTAGCAATTTTTAAGTGCCGTCAACGTTCAATGTTATTGTCATTGTTAAGGTCATGTTTATGCAAGTTCTATCTTAGTTTTATCTCAGAGAAAGATGTACCCATATTCTTGAAACAGATCTATTCATATTTCTGCCAAAATGTCATTTATGTTTCATGACCTGGACATGAAAGTTCATGTAAATCAAAGTTGTTGACTGCACACACACACACACACAAATATTTTCATATGTTCTCCGTCCAAGAGACAAGTTATGCAAAATTTTGTTACCGGTTTGCTAAAAATTCTTCTACTGACGTACCAGACCATGTGTTCAGTCGGTCAGAGGCTGGCTTACTCCAGCTTTGACCAGTGAGAATGAAGTTGTCAATCTCACACACTTACAGAATTGTCCACTCCATGCCTTGTTATGTGTAGAAGATTTGGGGACTAAACACCCGGTTATTTTGTACCAAACTTTACAACAGTGTTCTGGGTTTCTCGACGCTCTACGAGATGCGAAGAGTTTGCCTTCACCAGTAGCCTTAACGAACGCCGCGTTCCCACTCTTAACGCTATACTCCCCTTGTTGGGGACTGCCATTGACATGGAAACTCTTATGACATTTTTCACAAACATTCGTCTTTTTTTTTCCCATCCTTTCCATTGGTCAAGCATCATTTTGACTACCTCATGGGTCGTATTTATTCTTTTAGTTTCTTCAGAGATCGCCATCACATAGTCTTTCTAAAGAGCAAAAAAAGTAAGAAGCACCCTGTATATAGTTATCTTATCTTTCATTTTTACAGAACCACATTCCAGGGATCTGATGAGTCACTGATGGTTTAAGAATACAAAGAGGTCAATTTCCAAACAGTGAATAGAGAGCGTAGATGTTCAGTATCCAACATGAACAAGTTTTTGAACTTCCAGCTGATAAATGTTTACTGTTCGGATCACATGCCAAGGTAGTTTTTTTTTCTGGTGTTTTTTTTTTTTTTAGTTTAGTCTGGTAGAGGTTGGTGACCTCTGAAGATAATAGACCATTTAACAGAGAAACTGACAGCTGGTGCCTGTATTTATAGAAAATTAACAGTAACAGTACAGGGAAATGTTCTGTGTGTTGGGAATGTTATCCAGTTCTTTGATAGGTCTCTGTATGATGAGTGATGGGCAGACGGAGGAGAAATAGAAGTCTCGCTCACACAAAGACACTGGTTGTGCTCAGAATCTGTGACTGATTTTACTGAATTCAAAGCCTCCAGTTGCCGGTACTGCTAATACTGCTATAGTATATTTGAAGTCTGAATTGGCTGTACCGTGCTCATTAAGATCATCATAGAGGATTCTGGTTTGCTCAACCAACATTTTGGCCTAGCTGTGGGAAATGGGAGGGGGGTATTCTGCCCTGCGGCCCGTCAAAATAGTTCGTTGATTTCCTTTCCAATTTGTTTAATTTATGAGACTTGTGCTCATGAGGCTTTAGAAAATGTTTCATGCCAATCTCAATCTGTTTTAAAAAGTAGAGATGAATTGCTGTTTTCTATCATAAAATGCATAATAGTCATTTCAGGTTTTACTTACTTTTTATGATGATGATGAAGTTCTGTTTTAAAATCGTCATATACGACTGGGGCAATTGATTTTTAAAAACCCAACACTTCCCTGGTCACTTAATGCTGGGCAGCAATGTTGAGTTCTGGGAACTGTTCTAAATGTGACTCGTTTGTTACTTCTACTACGGAGGCATAGCTCAGTCATCACTTTTTGAGTAAATTTGAGCTGTTTCCTCTTACTCTTTACCTACATGACCTGAACATCCAGAGAAATTCTCAACATTCTGCGGGGTTGACAGATGTCCTGTTGAACTGGGAAAGTGTTGAAAGGTTTATGAACCAGTTGAAGACTGATTCCACACAAATGAAACTTGACTTAATAATTAGAAAGAATGGTGCGAAGGATCCTAAGGAGGAAAGCTACGAGTCTGTCTGTGGTCCTTTCACTTCAGCTCTGATGATCCTCCCGATATACCCAGCTATTGTGGGTAGAACTTTTGCTGAAATGGCATTTTATTACATGGTGTAAATTGTGTACAATAGCTAGGTGTGGCTTTTTATTTGGTTCGTCAAAGAAATTTCCCCTATTTTTCTAGGCCTTTTGTTTTGTTGGCAACTTTAGCAGCTCTCACTAGGTACTAAAGATTTCAAGTAATTTTTTTCTGTCATAAACTACACATATCACCCATTTATTGTCAATTAGGTTATAGCTTACTGATCATTGATCATAAATAACAAGTCCCATTTTAGATGATTAAAACTATTTTTTACTATAACTTTCGTGTTGATGTTTTTATTTTGTTTGTCATAGAATTTATTGACCTGAAACTTTGATGTTGGGTGCGTTTTGTTGCTTGGTCAAGTTTTTCATGTTCCTGGATAAGTACTTGTTGACTGTTTGGCCTGTCTTGTGTGGAAGATTAACCTCTTTCTAATTGTCAAAAGATGATGACTTTGATTCCCATGTGTGGGTGGTTAGTGGGTGCTCTGGTCCTTTTTTCCTTTCAACAAACATCTTTCATCCATATCTTTTCTCCTCTTTTTTTGTGTTTGTTACTCTCTTGTAACTCGTAAAAACCTCAAGTCTGCGGTACTTACATGACGCTATTTTACTACCTAATGTTGCAAGTGCTGTAAAACTTTTACTTTAAAAAACAACTCCCACATGGGAAGTTTCTATTTTATCAAGTATGGTACCTGCTGTATCCCATCCAGTCCTTGTTGGCCCAAACAGATGAGATCGAACCATGTTGGCTCAGTCCAAAGGGATTCAGTTTGGTTGAGACTAACCATGCCATTGCTAGTCATCATTGTACAGCCCCCAGCATTTAAACTAATTTTACTATCACATGTCTCAAGGACACCCCCCTCCAAATCACCGACCTAAACACTGTTTAACCAACAATTTTATATAGATCTATGCTCTTCATTTTTGTAAGCCCGGGTTCACTGACCTCTCAGCCAGAGTAGCCCTCTGCTTTACTTGAATTTTCAAAATCTGTTCTTAAGCACTTCTTTACTCAAATATATCCGAGTATACAAATAATAATAAATAGCATTTGTAGTGTATAGTGCACATCCCCACTCGACACGAAGCTCTTTGTGCTTTATGCTACACTAATTAAATATTACCCCAGCACATTTTAAAACCTTCAAAAAGATTCTCATTCTCAGCATAGATCTACAGTGTGTAAACATCTGATTTTATTAAGTAAACACTCAAATACTAACACTAACAGACTGCCACAATCTATCAGTCTATAGCTGGGTACCCATTCCCATCTGAGTGAAGTGAGGAAAATTTGTATCAAGTGCCTTCAAAGACAACATTGGGCCCCTGATGGGATTCAAATCCATGACCTACAATTGCGAGTCTAAGAGACTAACAACTAGGCCCTGGACACATCTAAAGATGGGTATGGGCCTGAGTATTTTCAGTCCAGCCCACAAGTCGACCCAGTGACTAATATGAATGTAGTCCCCTGGGTGAATGAATGATAGTTGTGTTGTGACACGGATGAATTAGGCGCTCGTCAATTTTTTAGCAAAGAGTTTTCAATATCTTAAAGCTCGTTCATTTATCTTGCATTTGGCGAAAGAAATACCCATCTATCTTGAATAGAAGTCAAGATATTTGCGACTGAAAGAGGTGGGGTAGCCTGGTGTGAGAGGTAAGAATTATTAGCAAGAAAATGGCTGCCAAAGTTTTGTGATTTCCAAAGTTTGAGTGTCCTTGGAAACAGGAAATGTACATATTTTGTGCCTGTGTTCTTCGTTTTTCCATATTGAAATTTGTTTTTATAGGCCATTAGAGTGTTGAGCCAAAAAAGAAACTAAAAAAAAAAAATTGTCCAGAAAGATGCTAGTTTCTTTGCTTTCCCTGTTTTGACGAGCGCCTGATTTTACCACGCTGCCTCACAATTAAAAACAAGCGTCCGTCTTGAAAATTAAAATCAATAGTTTTAAGTCCACATAGAAGCAATGGATTTAACATTTCATCTCCTGAAGTGCCCTTTAATGACATTTTTTATATAATAGTGTCAATATTTTTAGTCTTACTTGGGTATTTTCAACACAGTCTGATTAGAACATTTGGTTTCTGACCTCATGGTTTTGGTTACTCGAACTGACAAAAATGAAAGACAGAACTTTGTAATTCTAAGGTAGCCCAATGTAGAACAATCACCCACAACACCAGGGACAGCACACAAAAGAAAAAAAGGCACAATGCAAAAATAGACATACCAACAAATTTGATTTATTTTTCAACTGGGTCCATACTTCTCTTTTGATTTCCAATTTCATTTGTAAGTCTCAAATGGCATGCCTTGATACTGATACTACTGGGTGAAAAAAAAATTACACCCTTTTTACCAAGTAGGCCTACCTCTGGCTGGTGTATTTCATACCACGCTTAGCAAAAAACAAAACTATTTCATACCACGCTTAGCAAAAAACAAAACTAAGACATGGAACGGAGGAAAAAGTACATGAGAAATAAGCAGATGACCTTAGTGACTCTTGGTGCTGTACACAGAAGTATTGGAACCATACTTTTTACTTTGCTGCTATAGTAGTAGAAATATTGCTCAAATCTCATAACTGTTGAGTGGAAGAAATATTCGAGTCTTGCACGCGGTGACAGTCGTACTCCACAAGCTCTGTCGTCTCTATGAGTATTAAAATGAACCAGAAATCCCTCATCACTAACGCAACCTACGGGAATTATTATACAATACTATATAAATAATTAGAAAAAACTAACTGCATAAATAGCATTAGAAAAAAATGATTGAAAAAACAAAACAAAAAACAAACAACTACATACCACTGCTCATAATCTATAAGCAGCTGACAAGAGACCAGATCACAAGAGCAAAAAAAAAAACTAATCAAAATTAACAATAAAAATGTCACAAACGCTTTTCAACCAAAAAAACCCAAACAAAACAGACTGCAATGCAATACTGTCCAAAAATCACCATGTTATACTGGCACTCATCTCATTATAACAATAACATTAACCAGAAAAATTCTCTCAGTCAATTTGTCAACATGAACAAAGCTCCGATAAAGAATAAAAACTAAAGAAAGAAACCCCCCCAAAAAATTTTAAAACAAAAATTTAAAAGAGCTGAAAAAAAAATCATCTGCAAACAAAAACTTATTGCCGATTTGATCAAATAACTCCTGTCCTTGTTTCCGAGTTGTGCTGGCCGTTACCACAGTATGCTAAGTAGAGACAATGAAATGGATGGGGAAGTATGTGCAACAAGTGGATGAGGAAATGTTTCAAACTAAGGAGGGGGGGGGTGGGGACGTGGGCAGTCATCAGTTGGCCTTGCTGAAGTAGTCCTGGCTGCCCTTGGGGTCGGGCTTCATCGTCTCCTTGCCTGGTCTCCATCCCGCCGGGCAAACTGGGGAGATGAGTAGAAAATTGTAAGTTTAAAAAAAGTATGAAATTTAAAGCACTAGCAACACAATTCAATAAGGTCATATTTTTTAGTGTGAAGACAAGATAAGACAAAGAGAAACAACGGAAGGAAAGAAAAAAAAAGAAAAGGGACCTGCCAGTGGTAAAGTGACTTTGAGTAAAAAGAAGCACATCGAACCAATAATAGTCGTTTAGTGAAGAGAAAAAAAGTAAGACAGATAGACAGACAACAGAAGGAAAGGAAAGAAGTTAGAGAGACCTCCCGTTGTCGCAATGACTGAGACAAAGTAGGAAAACCAGAAGAGAAACAAGGCAAGAAGGAAAAGAAGGCCTCACCTTCTCCGTGCTTGTCTGTGAACTGGAAGGCTTGGACAAGTCTCAGGGTCTCATCCACGGAGCGGCCCACGGGAAGATCGTTGATGGTGATTTGACGCAGGTTTCCCTTGTCGTCGATGATGAACAGACCTCTGAGGAAAGCATAGGACAATACTGCTCATTTCCCTGTACATGGAATGTAATTTACGGCCCCATCAACAAGATTTAAAGCATTTTGGAGGCACGCTGATTTCACTGAGTTTTAAAAAAAAGCACACTGAAACAGTTATGATCTATAAGTCCTCGATAAAGTTTTTTTTTCTTCTAGTAATTGTTTTACGGCACTGGCAACTGCATAAGGTCATATGAGCGCCAGACGATTAGGAGTTACAAGAGAGTAACAAACATAAAAAAGAAAAAGGGGAGATAAGGACGATAGATGTTTGATCGGAAAGAAGAAGCAAACCACACCAGAGCACCCGCCAACCACCCACTTCGACAAAGTACAACACTCAGACATGACATTCACTGAGAAACAACGGAGGAGGGAAACAGGAGTAAGACCTAACCTTGGCGCCCTCCAATCACCTGATCAGGATGGCATTGGTTATTTCATTGTAAATGTAAATTACGGTTTCAATAACATAACTTGGAGTTGGAGCATTTTCCAGGCAATCTCATTCTACCCTGAATATTTGAGCAGAGAAGCACATGGACCCAGTAAAGGCCATTTCATGCTGGGGAAAAGTAAGAAAGATAGACAGATAGATCTCTCAGAATAAGAAATATTAATCTTTAACAAAAAATTCACAGTTTTGGGCTTCAGACAGTTAAACTGGTGGCGGACAACTCACCTGAAAGCGACACCCTCGTCCTCCTTGAGGCAGCCGTACTTCTTGCTGATCTCGGAGGTTTTGTCTGCCAGCAGAGGGATCTTCATGGGGCCCAGGCCGCCCTGTTTACGGGGAGTGTTCACCCTGACAAGTCAAAGCAAGGTAAGAAATAGAACTTCAGTTTTACTTTATCAATTTAAGAAAGTAAAAATCTCACGGCGCTTGCATCACAATGAGGTCATATGAGTAGTGCCAAAGATCATAAATATGTTGAGTGTTAGTTTCTCGGTAAGATTCTTACAGTATTTGCTTCCAAAAAAAAGTCCTATAAGTGCCAAAATTAGAAGCATCCCTAGACAGAGAGAAGCCTACATAGAAAAGATGGAGGAGAGTAAAGGACAAAAGATTTTTTAAATTCATTACTAAATGATCAAATCTTTTTTTTTTCTGTTGGTTTTTAAAAAATAAAGTGTTCATTTATAATTTACAAAAACTAATTCAACAAGAAAGGTTTGGAAAATCAATCCAGGCCCCCTCCCTTGATCCACGTACCATGCGAGATGTGAGTAGACACTGTCTGTGGAGCATGCAGCAACCTCACAGCCGATGGCGCGGAACTCCTCCACTCTGTCGCTGAAGGCGATGATCTCAGTGGGGCAGACAAATGTGCTGGGGGGCGGGAAAAAGACAGAAAAAAAAAGTTAGGATAAAAATTAGCGTCACTTACGTTGTTCGGTACCTAAAAATAAAAGGCAAAAGAGGCAGAGATAGGCCAAGTTTGGAAAAATCATAGTTTCAATTACGCTGTGCTATAAATTCTACCTAAAAACAAACAACAAGTTAGGATAATTCAGTTTCATACATTTGGTTACACATTCAGTGCTGTATGTACTTTATCATTCTAGAACCTCTTATCTCGCATACAGGCTTTTTAAAGCAAGCTTATTCCTTGCTTCAGGTTATATCAATTCAATCTTACTCATTTACATTTTGTCTAGACAGTCACAATACACTTACATACAAGCATAAACGTTATATTAAAACTGTACCTTAGAAAGTAATAATATAAGATAAAGCAAAGTACATCAACAGTTTTCATCCACTGATAATGAAAAGTATTGCAGTTTTCAGAGTTTCACTATCAATGATAGCAGCCGCATTAGGTTAAGAACAGATAAGACAATTAATAAATAGCCTACTGTACAGATAGGAGCAGGACCTTCATGATAATTCTCATCTCACCCCTTCAACCCAGAGAAACTTCAATCAAAAAAGAAATCGTGTTTGATTTTGAACATGAATAAGTTTTAGTTGTTTGTGCAAGAGAGAGACAGATAGATAGACCATCATTGACAGAGAGAGGGAGGAGGGAGATAGATAGATAGACAGAGAGAGAGAGAGAGAGAGAGAGAAAGAGAGGGAAAGAGAGAGAGAGAAAGTGAGGGAGAGAGAGAGGGGGGGAGACAG